AAATATATATTAATTAACTATAAATTTGATGATTCTAACTAAGATACCAGAGTATTAAATCTAACCAATTACGTGTTGTTTGTGCTCTAACTGTATGTTAAAGCAGTATATTTTGCTGGATACTGGTTTAATTAAATTAATTTTTTACAAAAGCAAAACCTTTGTTAAGATTTAAAAAAACAGTATAAAATCGCACATTGTTAACAAACAAATGAATCTTTCTTAAAAAAATTTATAGCGTTTTATTTATTAATTACTAGATTATTTTCCAATAATTATTTCTAATTTTCCTTTTAACGTCAAACATAGTAGGATCATTTGGAAAATGTATTTTCTTATATGATTATTCTTTAAAGTATAAATAATTCCTTAACGGAATTCTAGTTATAGCGTTATATACAGGGGTCTCAGATTTAAATCGGGAAAATTTGTATGGTCGATAGAACTTGCAAAAATAAGGAGAACTTTAGATACAGGGTGTTCAAGTTAATAAAAAAGTATGGTATTATTAAATTTAGATTAAGCAATTAAGAATGAAACTTTTTTGCCTCCTGCATTATTTTTATTGTTGCTTTTAATCAATTAGTTAATTAATTAATTAAAATTTTCAAGAAAAAAATTAAATTCGTTATCAGATCGTGATTAATTTATTTAATTTTTTTCTTCAAAATTAAACAAGATAGAAAAAAATGTATGAAATAAAAAAGTTGTATTTTTAATTTTTTCATCTAAAAATAATATTGAATTTATAAAAAGCAGTAGCGTACCCAAATTAAATTAAGCCTACCCATTACTAAAAACCTAAAAAGTCTTTAGTCACGGGCTAAAGTTAGCAATAGTGGCTTTTGGGCATTTTAGTCATGGGATGAAGTTAGCTTTTTAAAAAATTGGGATAAAGTGAGGTTAAATTTTAGTTGAAAGATCGGTCATTTCCAGCTAGCGAAACGCAAGAATTACAAAACTGTTTTTATAAAAAAAATTGTAGATAATTTATTAAATAATATTTTGGCATCAAAATTGTCAAAAATATTCTTGTTTTATAAGGCTATACATTAAATAAAAAAAACGCAAGAAATAAGTTATAAAAGTAGAGATAATTTCAATAATTGAAAGGTTGTGGATGGGATAAAAAAAGATTTATCTTGCCCCTTCCACACCTGTCAATTATTTAATATTATCTTCACTTTTATAAAATATTTCTTGCGTTTTTTTATTTAATGTATAGCCTAATAAAGAAAAAATATATTTGAAAATTTTGATGCAAAAATAATATTTTATAAATTACCTACCTACAATTATTTTTATAAAATCAGTTTTGTGATTTGTCCCGTCCGTATGCTTGAAATGGCCGAGATGTCAAATTTTTAACAAATAAAATTGGCTTTAAATTTTTCTTTATGTTCTTCGTAGTAGTATGCAACTCGTTGTATAAACTTCTACAGACATTTGTTTTTATTAAAAACTCGCTCGCAAGCTTCGCTCGTGCCTAATAAAAGCTTTAAAACATACAAGTTCATATAAACTTACTATTGATTATTAAAATTTGCAGATTAAAGTCTGAGACACCCTGTATATATTTGCATTTTTAAACTAAGATTTACCACGATTTTTGGCTCTAATAAGAACTAAAATGTATTGTAAGCAAGATAATCAAAATAATTAAAAACCCTTCTATAGAGAAAACGCATTTATTTTCATACCTACATACCTATGTATTAAATTTTGCGTGTCGATTGGAAAATGTTCAAAATTCGCGATGTAAAAATGAGCAATACAAAATCATGTGGGCTAGTTTAATTGGTTTTATATCCCGGGAATGGATTCGTTCGTGGTGTCTGCTGACGTCATTCGGGGCAACGGTAAAAACTCTGCTACACTGTGGTGAGTCTCTTATTATTTACTACCCCCTTTAGAATAACACACTTCTTTGTCGGACACATTTAGTAGTAACCGTTCTCAAAATTAAATTGACAACAATTGAACACTTTTTTAAAGGAGAAGGATCATTTTATGAAATATTTTTCTTTATATGAAATAAAAATGTTTTATTAGACTTTTATATATAAATATGTATGTCTAACTTGAAAATTAAATTAGATTCCTTAGTTTATTTTTATTTTGAAAAAGTAAAATATTTCATGAAATAAACGTCTTCTTAGAACTAAGTGACAAGGAAGCTTTCTTTTGTTTGTTGTGGTTGGCACTGTGGTCAGTGCGTTTTTTTTTTTGGTAAAAGGATTAAGTGTCACTATCATAAGCATGATATCATATTTTTGTTGATTAACAAAATATCTTGAGATCATTATTGTATGAACATTTTTTTATTTTTAAAATACAGGGTGTCAAATAATAAATTGTCTTCCTTTGGGGGGATGATAGTACACGCCAAAATATCGCCTCTATCATTATTGCACTTGTGTCACTCAAAAATCATTTCAATTTTTATAAATAAAGTAGAAATTTTCGGCCGCCACTGGTTTTTCCTGACCTATGACAACTGACGCAAAATATGCGTGCACAGTGGGCAATAATCTACATTCATTAAAAATTTACAATTGTGTTATCATTGGATTATTTCGGATTTCATCTGCCGCTGCAGTGACAAGTTGTTCTAATGTGTCAACTTCGCTATGGTACACTAAAATGTTCATGTAGCCCCTGAGAAACCACAATAACAACCTAACTTTCAGTAATCAATGATAACAAAGTACCTACTAACAGATTTTGAATAAGTTTAAAAGTTTGCTTGATATTACATAATACACTGCGCATACCTGTTTCTTTTATGCTTGAATGAAAAATATCTATGGCACGCCGTTTTAGCATTTATTAGATAAAAGTTTAAAGATTAAAGTTTAGCACTTAAATTATATTTTAACAGAAATTTATAAAGTTACATTTTTTTAAACTCAAAACAATTGATAGTCAAAAAATATTTTAAATAATAAATGCAACAGTAAAAATTTATGTTTAAAAATATTGATTTTTAAAAGTTTTGGTTGTAATATTTTATTCTACAAAATTATTGGTTTAAATTTTTAAAGAGTCATTTAAATGATAGTTGAGACATTTTTAATACAAAAATTATCACATTACATTAAATGTAAGTTTTAAATTTTAAAGTAGTAATTTTTGTATTAAAAATTTATCGACTATCATTTAAATGACTCTTTACAAATTTAAACCAAAATTTTTTATTTTTAACAATTTTAAAGTAATATATATTTTTAAGACAAAATTTATAACTTTACATTTCAATGTTAGTCGATAATTTTTAAATTACAAAGTGTAAACGTAGCTTTAGTAGAAGGCACAAGAGTCTGGGATCGGAGCCACGATGCAGCCAGTTTGATACGTTGATGTTTTTTAATTGTCGAATTAACTTAGTACAATAGGCACTAAAAATGTTGTTGTTCTATTATTTAATTTATGTAATAAAGAAACATTTCATTACGATAATTTGTAAAACGCGTCAAATATTTATGTAGCAAGCACGATTTGGCAACACTGCGGATCAAACTGGCTGCATCGTGGCACCGATCTTAGACTCTTGTGCCTTGTACTAAAGCTACGTTTACACTTTGTAATTTAAAAATTATCGACTTACATTTAAATGTAAAGTTATAAATTTTGCCTTAAAAATGTATCAATTTAAAATTGTTAAAAATAAAGGTATTGGTTTAATTTTGTAAAGAGTCATTTAAATGATAGTCGATAAATTTTTAATGCAAAAATAAGCACTTTAAAATTTAAAACTAACATTTAAATGTAATGTTCTTGTTTTTTGTATTGAAGATTTATCGACTATCATTTAAATGACTACAAATTCAAACCAATAATTTTGAAGAATAAAATATTAAAATTCCATTTTTTTAAATTAATATTTTTAAACTTAAACTTTTACAGTTGCATTTTATATTTAAAATATTTTTTCATTATCAATAGTTTTGAGTTTACAAAAATTTAACTATATTGGTAGAAAATGTTTTATATGTGTTTTTATTTTAAATGGCTTGATACTATTTTTTAAAACTAAAAAAATTAATTTTACCAAATTAATCTCAATAATTTTATAAAATATTTATTTAAGTTAACAAAATGCCACCCAAATAAATTATACTTGGGAAATTATTTTTATTAAAAAAAGATAGTTAAATTTTTTTACAAAAATTGATAGAAAATAATATTGTTTAATACAGAAGTGAACTGTTAGTTAGTAAATTTTGTCTTTCAATACATGATAGTTGAAAATATTATAAATTTATAAAATTTTTAGTTGGGAAAATTTTAAACCAATAAAATTTTAAATTAAAAAATTATTTAATAAATTTTAAAACGGCGTGCCATAAATATCATTGTTTTTAGATGATATATAGGATAGGTCAGTGACATCCAGTGGCTCCCTGGTTTTGTCAAAAAAATTTCATAATTTTTGCATTAAAAAACTTTTTTATTTTGGCGTGTACTATCATTCCCTTAAAGGATGACAAATTATTTGATCACACCCTGTATAATCTAATTGAATTAATAAAAGGTAAGTATAAAAAATTGTATTAGGTAAGTTCCCTACAAAATAACATATTTTCAATTAAAAAAAAATGTAATTGTTTATTATTGATCTCAAGAATTTCACAAAAAAATCAGTACCTACTTATAAAGTAGATGTAAAATCTTATCTATGGCCATATTTAAGTACATTACAGTTGTTTGTATCATGCATTAAAACACATTAACGTAGCCATGAAAACTAAATGATATAATAATTATTTTATTTGTAATATATTGTAAATAGCTATGCACAATTATATATAACATCCATTTCTCACAAAACTCTAATTAATAAATAATTATTGGATCATCAAGTTGGTAGAAATAAAAATATTAGAATCATCTTATTAATTAACTATTACAAATTAATTAATAACGTCATACTTCCACAAATACCCCCTTAATAACTAAAATGATAAAACAAATATTTATTTATGATCTTCTTTCCTTAGGTGGCAACATAATTCCGACCCCCTTTCATCCAGGCGCCAATTTCCCGGGCTACGGTCCTGTGCAGATAGCCGCCACTCCGATGGGCCCCCGTCAATTTTTGCCGCCGCCTATGCCCCAGATCATCTATTGGCCGTATCCTAGTCCGCCGGTCTCGCCCACCAACTACTACCCGACCATGCCGCCACCTGGCGCCCTCCAGCAGCAGCAACCGCAACAGATGGTGAGTGTCGAAAATTTTATTCTTCTTCAAAATTTCTTGAAAATGTAAAAAATTTTAAAAATTAGTTTATTTTGTAATTTAAAAAATTTGTTTAAATTATAACTCCACCAATAATTTAAAAAAGAAAATGTATATTTTAACAAAATTGCGAATTTAAATTTTAAAATTAGTTATGAAAATTTGAATTTTTTTTGGAAATATGAACAAATTTTAAAATTTCTTTCTCCACAAACGTTTTCAAGTATAATTTTTAAGGCTTGCAATACTAATAATTTTAAAAATTTAGTAAATTTTAAAAAAATTGTGAATTTTAAAAATTTTGGATATTCTATAAATTTGTTTTTGAAAATGGATAACGCTTATCAAGCGCCCAAAAGTTTTTCTGGGCTAAGTTAAATTATTTGTAAAGTAATAGTTCTTTATGTCATTAGGTTAAGAAGTAAGGCTTTTTGTGCCAAGCTCAAGGTTTAAAGGCCGACGCGTAGCGGAGGCCTACAATTGAGCGAAGCACAAAAAGGCACTTCTTGGCCGAATGGTATATAACATTTTATCTTCAAAGCACTTTATATAGGTCAATTTAATTCAACATCAAAGCGGCCTAACCTCACTTTTTTAGAATCTCATTTATTTATTTGTTAAAGATTACATTAAATGTACAATAATTATTATTGCTTTTAGAAGCAGTAATAGTTTGACAATACCTAGCAACATGATTTAAGTAGAAATGGATTTTTGATATTACATTGAATTCAATTAATTGTTTAATAAATAGGTAGGTATCTAATTTCAATTTGTTTGGATTTTTATTTAAAAAATAGGTAGTTTGGAATGTTTAAGCCGTGTTTAACATTTAATTTCACTGAAAACTTAAAGCAAATGAAAACTTAAAGATAATTTAAATCGTAGAAAAAGAATCGTGCGTTTTCTTGGTTGCCTAACCTCACTTTTTGTTTTATTATTCATATTTAATTTTACAATAATTTAATGAAAAATATTAAACATTAACAGTAAAACAAACAAATTAGTGCTTTTTATAAAAAAATTAAACCAGTTTAGTACGTTAATTTCTTAGAAAAGGATTAATTTGTCAAAACAATACCCCTAGCGAGAAAAAATCGAACTAATTACTTGCCTCATAATAGTATATTCTGTAACAAGTTTGGAATACAGCATATTCCGCTCGAGTGAAGAGTTTGTCACACGAGCCGAAGGCGAGTTTGACGGTTTCACGAGAGCGGAATATGCAATTCTAAACGTGTTTCAGACTATACTTTTTCCAAAAAATACCATAGAAAAATAATTTAATTGGAAGAAAGTGAGGTTGGATCGGTATAAAATTTGTTAGATATTAAAAACAGAGATGTCGCCACGAGTATTTATTCTGTCATCAGATGATAGAATATTTCATTCTGTAACACTTTACGGAATATATGTCATTCCATAGTGATATTAGAACGGTCATATTCCATAATATGAGTAGAAATTTTTTTTTATCGGCCTAGGCCATCATAACAAGGTATTTCTTTATCGAATGTTGACAACAATAAAGTTTAAATTATAGACCGCGTGGAGATAAAATTAGTTATTTTTCAAATAATTTTGTTTACCAAAGAAAAAGTTTTTGGCGCTTGATTCCTTTTCGATAAACGCTATCCAAATTAAGTATGAAAATATGCATATTAAAATTTTTTTAATTTTTTTTAAAAACCTTTTAAAATTATAATTTTGACCGCATGCAGTCTGGAGCTAAATTTTGTTTTGCTACTTCCAAAATTTTGGGTTTTTCTACTTCCATATTTAAAACGCCCATTATGTTTTAAACACACATTGACAAGTTGTGGCTTTATGGCTGTTTAGTCAGGGCTGAAGTTAGTTTTAAGTAAGTTGACATTTGTCAAATGTTATACAATCGTTAAAATAAAATTACATTAATATAAAAATACAAAAAGATTAAAAGTATTTCTCAACGCCAATATTTTAAAAGTTTACATGATCTATTGGTGATTTACTGATCTTTTAATTTCGCCTGTAGTAAACTAAATTTAACTTAATTTCCGGTGGAAATTATTTTTTTATTGTATTAACTAAACGGTTAACATTTTTTTCTCAAAATATAAATATATCATCATTTGACTTTGGCATAGTTTTTAGCCAAATCTATAGACGCGTTCAAATTAAAAGTGTGGTGAAATTTCTACTTGTGTATATACATCAGATATACAAAAGTAGTAATTTTACTACACTTTTAATTTTATTCAAAAAAAAAACTCGTCGAGCGATTTGGCTAAAAAACTAGTCAATGTAACTTATTTGTACAAAAGAAATGATATTTATTCATACACTCACAGGCAAAATAATCGATCCACACAAATTTTCGATGAATTTCAATCGCAAATAACTTTTTTATTTGATTTCGGATTTAAACAAATATTAAAGAATATTGCAGATACATTAATGGAGAATCGCTCACATTTTAAAAATTACTAAAAAATACACGTACGTTTATAATATACAGGTTTAAACAAAAATATGTTTTTACCATAAGTTTAAGACACTCTGTAGAGTGGCAAAACCGTAAATTGTTCTAAATTAAGTTTTAATTATCAAGTCACATCTATTTTTAACAGTTTTGTTTTTGGTTCACCTTGATATATATATATTTATTTTTGTAGAAAATATGGATTTTTTTTAAAAAAACATTGCAATATTCAATATTTTTCCTGTATGAATAACTAAGCTATAGCTAATCCATAGCCTACGGAGGATGACAGTGACAGTTTTGTTGAATAATCCCATACTTGGACATGTAATACCCCAGATAGCACCATTCGTCCAATGGACGTCCGTTTAAGATCCATTTTAAGTACATGGTCCACGGACTAAAAATGGATGTACTATGTACGTCCATATATTTACATCCTTTGTACGATTTTAATGGACGTCCATATAGTGTCCATTTTACGTCCATAATTATTATTACGGAAATGTAGTTAAAACGTATTGTTGGCTGCATAACAACAGTTATGATCAATCTCACTGACATTCAAGCAAGCGCGGGCTATAAAGGACTTAAGCTATCAATGAAATGTTAAACACTTGTAGTATTGCAAATGTAATATTCGAATACAAGGATTTCCTGAAATGTTTAACATTGAATGTTGTAACTTTTAACAACTTTTAGAATATTTATATTCCTAGTGGGATTGTTACTGAGCCAGACAAAAGGCATTTCAGTCATGTTGTAGAAAATTTTCTGCAACATCGCAATGAAAATACAGTCGCAAAAAACAGTTAAAGTAAGCAAAAAAGCAGGTCCTGGATGCTGGAGGAATGGTTTAAACACCTTATAGACGTCCATCGGTGGACGACTTATGGATGTCCAAAGTTGTGACATCTGGACTCTAAACGGATGTCCATGGGACGTCCATAGAAAAAAATGGACATCCTATGTACATACAGACGTCCACGAGCATACGTCCATTGGACGTCCATAGTATACCTTTGTGCTATCTGGGACAGCTTTCAAAAGCTATCAAATTGTTTTTTGTAAATTAATTCATGTGTTAATTTTGAAGTGTCTTCTTACTTTTAAAAATGTCTCCGACTGATGTTGCCCTTTGTACTTTACTTCTTGTGACGTTTAAAACACTTGCCACGTTATACTGTGACCGTTCATCCTGGATTAAATGAATGGCTCTGGCAACATCAGTCGGGGACATATCCATTTTTTAAAGTGAGAAGACACCTCAAAATTTAAACATTAATTTGCAAAAAACAATTTGATAGCTTTTGAAACCCGTGTATGACATGTACAAGTATGCGATGATTCAACAAAACTGTCACTGTCATTCTCCATAGCATATGGATGGACCATAGCAACCTTAGTTCTTCATACAGAAAAATATTGGAAATTGCAATGTTTTTTTAAAAAATCCATATTTTTCACAAAAATAAATATATCGAGGTGAACCAAAAACAAATCTGTTAAAAATAGATGTGACTTGATAATTAAAACAATATACGGTTTTGACACTCTACAGAGTGTCTTAAACTTATGGTAAAAAACATCTTTTTGTTTAAACCTGTATATTATAAACGTACGTGTATTTTTTAGTAATTTTTAAAATGTGAGCGATTCTCCATTAATATATCTACAATATTCTTTAATATTCGTTTAAATCCGAAATCAAATAAAAAAGTTATTTGCGATTGAAATTCATCGAAAATTTGTGTGGATCGATTATTTTGCCTGTACATCAGATATATCTTTTGTATATATACAAAAGTAGTAATTTTACTACATTTTTAATTTTATTAAAAAAAAACTCGTCGAGCGATTTGGCTAAAAAACTAGTCAATGTAACTTATTTGTACAAAAAAAATGATATTTATTCATATTATTGTTAGAATTATTTATTTTTTAAGTACAGTGTAGAGTTTTTATTTAATTACAGAAATTAATTTGCCTACTTTATTTCTCCCAAGATTCTCCAAAAAACCTCCTAAATTCCTAAATAAAATTTATAATTTAGCCGTGGAAGCCCAGCACTCATTTAATTAAGCACTCGCCCCTAAATTAAATTCGTGACTAAAATGGCGTTTATCAAACCTGATACATATACCATTAGATCTGGTGTTAAAAGGTGACAAAATAAATTGTCGCTTTTCTCATAAATAATTATTTTGAAGATTACAAATTTTAGAAATTATTTTTTTTTCGACATGTTTAATTAATTCAACCCGTGTTGGTTATACACTCACAGGCAAAATAATCGATCCACACAAATTTTCGATGAATTTCAATCGCAAATAACTTTTGTATTTGATGTCGGATTTAAACAAATATTAAAGAATATTGTAGATAAATTAATGGACAATCACTCACATTTTAAAAATTACTAAAAAATAGACGTACGTTTATAATATATAGGTTTAAACAAAAAGATGTTTTTTACCATAAGTTTAAGACACTCTGTAGAGTAGCAAAACCGTATATTGTTCTAAATTAAGTTTTGTTTATCAAGTTACATCTGTTCTTAAAAGTTTTGTTTTTGGTTCACCTTGATATATTTATTTTTAAGAAAAATATGGATTTTTTAAAAAAAACATTGCAATTTCCAATATTTTTCTGTATGAAGAACTAAGGTTGCTATGGTCCATCCATAGGCTATGGAGAATGACAGTGACAGTTTTGTTGAATCATCCCATACTTGGACATGTCATACACGGCTTTCAAAAGCTATCAAATTGTTTTTTGCAAATTAATGTTTAAATTTTGAGGTGTCTTCTTACTTTAAAAAAATGGATATGTCTCCGACTGATGTTGCCAGAGCCATTAATTTAATCCAGGATAGACGGTCACAGTATTACGTGGCAAGTGTTTTAAACGTCACAAGAAGTAAAGTACAAAGGGCAACATCAGTCGGAGACATTTTTAAAAGTAAGAAGACGCCTCAAAATTAACACATTAATTTACAAAACACAATTTGATAGCTTTTGAAAGCTGTATATGACATGTCCAAGTATGGGATGATTCAACAAAAATGTCACTGTCATCCTCCATAGGCTATGGATGGACCATAGCAACCTTAGTTCTTCATACAGGAAAAATATTGGAAATTGCAATGTTTTTTTTAAAAAATCCATATTTTTCACAAAAATAAATATATCAAGGTGAACCGAAAACAAAACTGTTAAAAATAGATGTGACTTGATAATTAAAACTTAATTTATAACAATATACGGTTTTGCCACTCTGCAGAGTGTCTTAAACTTATGGTAAAAACATATTTTTGTTTAAACCTGTATATTATAAACGTACGTGTATTTTTTAGTAATTTTTAAAATGTGAGCGATTCTCCATTAATGTATCTACAATATTCTTTAATATTTGTCTAAATCCGAAATCAAATAAAAAAGTTATTTGTGATTGAAATTCATTGAAAATTTGTGTGGATCGATTATTTTGCCTGTGAGTGTAGTTCATTTGGTTAAAAAAATAAATTAAAAAAGTGTATTTTTTGTGAAAAAAATTTGATAATACCCACTAAAAGTTGGTAATTTAAAATGACTTATTTTGTTGTTGGATTCCTTGTGGCAAACAAAACATTTCATTTTATCGACACATTTTGTAAAATTGCTAATTCGTAATGATTATAAACAATATTTAATATTGTTAAACCTTTTTATTTTCAGATTCCACCTGAATGTGTTGGCATGCAGCAACTGGCACCAATGCCCGCCATCGATGCCAGACTTATGTCCGACGGGATTCCCCGACAGGACGACAAGATCCGGCAAAATTTCGGCCCAAATCAATACGTCGAAATAATGCTGTAAGCGTATTTTTCGATTAACCCGACACAAACGATAACTATAAAAACTACTTAAGGTGCAAATGCCCACTTAACTTACTTACGTCAAAAATAGCGAATTAAATGCAATTCTTATGTGAGACTAAACACATATCAAACTGTCTATAGTGTATAGATGAATATAGTTACTATTTAATTAATATATTGAAGATTATAATATATGAATTTGTTATTATGTTAACATAAGTTATTATGATTTTTACTTGTTTATCGAGATCAGATTAATTTAACACTAATTTACCTATATTTAATTTATTATTATTAGGTATTTTAAATAGTAGACTGCTCTCAATTTCTTATACAACATTTATAGGATGAAGTGCAATTATTTTATTATCGTTTATCTAACATAAACGGATTTTATGTTTCATGTTAAGACATGAGATTATTACGCGTCGTACGCGTCAAAAATAATTCTAAAAACAACAAAATTGAACTTGTCTTCCATTTTTTTAAGTCGCCTCGTGTGTGATTTTTTTACATATTAAATATTAATTAAATGGCCTCGCTTAAGTGCTTGTTGTGATTTATTTAGTTAAAACAAAAAAAACAAAATAAATGTAGACGTTGCAATATTTCCAGATGAGAATTCCTTTACAACGAATAGTCATACATGAAAAAATCGCGCAATTTAGATTTTAAACTTCTTTTTTTAGATTAATTCAATTTTAAGCTCAAAATTCTAAAGTAATGTGCAATAATTGTAAGTCGATTTAGTTACGATTCCAATTAGTGATACTTTTAGTCATACTGACTATAAAACATAGTACTTGAACACTTTTTATAGATTTATAGATTGTTAAAATAGTCATATAGTTATAAATAAAACAGTTGCTACTTTTTAATCAAATCTTTAGTCGACTTTAGCGTACCTATACTTAAATAATTATTAATTATTGTTTAATAATTTTTGAATGACATTAGTTTTAAGTAATCTAAGATCTAAATATTGTTACATTAATTGTGTGATTTTTTGTTAGTTCTTTAAGAACTCCTTTTTATAAGAAATAACTTAATAAAATATAAATTGTTACTGAATTCTCGATTTTTATTTACCAACCACATTGTTTGTCAGGACTGAGTTTAATATAAGATTTTACATATGAATGCTACCAGGTTATTAAGATAAATGTAAAAAATATTGGAGATGAAAAAAAATAACATGCCAAGAGTTTTATTATATAATTTTATTCCTTAATAAATAGTAAATTATTTTTTCTTCTTCCACCTTTAAAACGTCCATTATTGTAGGAATCTAGGGGGTTTAATTTAAAACGACTATTTTTTGTTTTCACCGAAACTCCATAATTTTGTTTAAAACATCGAAAAAAAATTCCCTCAAAGTTTGAGCCCTTTATTTTGAATTTTTCCCATTTATAAAGCATGTATTTTCAATAACTTTTTTACATTTCTGTATCTTTGCCGGGTTTTAAGCTCATATCATATTGGGAACAAATTAATCTAAAAAACACAATTTTTCAAAGGTTTAAATATTAATCTGCTCAATATTGTAAACTGTGCAGTTTAGCGTTATAAAGGTAAGGAATTTTGTGTAGAGAACTAAAAATTAAATAAAAAATAGAATTTTTCCTTTAAATTTTTTTAGGTATTATTAGGTATTTTAAATAGTAGACTGCTCTCAATTTCTTATACAACATTTATAGGATGATTGCAATTATTTTATTATCGTTTATCTAACATAAACGGATTTTATGTTTCATGTTAAGACATTGAGATTTTAAACTTCTTTTTTAGATTAATTCAATTTTAAGCTTAAAATTCCAAAGTAATGTGCAATAATAGTAAGTCGATTTAGTTACGATTCCAATTAGTGATACTTTTAGTCATACTGACTATAAAACATAGTACTTGAACACTTTTTATAGATTTATAGATTGTTAAAATAGTCATATAGTTATAAATAAAACAGTTGCTACTTTTTAATCAAATCTTTAGTCGACTTTAGCGTACCTATACTTAAATAATTATTAATTATTGTTTAATAATTTTTGAATGACATTAGTTTTAAGTAATCTAAGATCTAAATATTGTTACATTAATTGTGTGATTTTTTGTTAGTTCTTTAAGAACTCCTTTTTATAAGAAATAACTTAATAAAATATAAATTGTTACTGAATTCTCGATTTTTATTTACCAACCACATTGTTTGTCAGGACTGAGTTTAATATAAGATTTTACATATGAATGCTACCAGGTTATTAAGATAAATGTAAAAAATATTGGAGATGAAAAAAAATAACATGCCAAGAGTTTTATTATATAATTTTATTCCTTAATAAATAGTAAATTATTTTTTCTTCTTCCACCTTTAAAACGTCCATTATTGTAGGAATCTGGGGGGTTTAATTTAAAACGACTATTTTTTGTTTTCACCGAAACTCCATAATTTTGTTTAAAACATCGAAAAAAAATTCCCTCAAAGTTTGAGCCCTTTATTTTGAATTTTTCCCATTTATAAAGCATGTATTTTCAATAACTTTTTTACATTTCTGTATCTTTGCCGGGTTTTAAGCTCATATCATATTGGGAACAAATTAATCTAAAAAACACAATTTTTCAAAGGTTTAAATATTAATCTGCTCAATATTGTAAACTGTGCAGTTTAGCGTTATAAAGGTAAGGAATTTTGTGTAGAGAACTAAAAATTAAATAAAAAATAGAATTTTTCCTTTAAATTTTTTTAGGTATTATTAGGTATTTTAAATAGTAGACTGCTCTCAATTTCTTATACAACATTTATAGGATGATTGCAATTATTTTATTATCGTTTATCTAACATAAACGGATTTTATGTTTCATGTTAAGACATTGAGATTTTAAACTTCTTTTTTAGATTAATTCAATTTTAAGCTTAAAATTCCAAAGTAATGTGCAATAATAGTAAGTCGATTTAGTTACGATTCCAATTAGTGATACTTTTAGTCATACTGACTATAAAACATAGTACTTGAACACTTTTTATAGATTTATAGATTGTTAAAATAGTCATATAGTTATAAATAAAACAGTTGCTACTTTTTAATCAAATCTTTAGTCGACTTTAGCGTACCTATACTTAAATAATTATTAATTATTGTTTAATAATTTTTGAATGACATTAGTTTTAAGTAATCTAAGATCTAAATATTGTTACATTAATTGTGTGATTTTTTGTTAGTTCTTTAAGAACTCCTTTTTATAAGAAATAACTTAATAAAATATAAATTGTTACTGAATTCTCGTTTTTTATTTACCAACCACATTGTTTGTCAGGACTGAGTTTAATATGAGATTTTACATATTAATGCCACCAGGTTATTAAGATAAATGTAAAAAATATTGGAGATGAAAAAAATAACATGCCAAGAGTTTTATTATATAATTTTATTCCTTAATAAATAGTAAATTATTTTTTATTCTTTCACCTTTAAAACGTCCATTATTGTAGGAATCTAGGGGGTTTAATTTAAAACTACTATTTTTTAAAAAATTTAAGCTCAAAATTCTAAAGTAATGTGCAATAATTGTAAGTCGATTTAGTTACGATTCCAATTAGTGATACTTTTAGTCATACTGACTATAAAACATAGTACTTGAACACTTTTTATAGATTTATAGATTGTTAAAATAGTCATATAGTTATAAATAAAACAGTTGCTACTTTTTAATCAAATCTTTAGTCGACTTTAGCGTACCTATAGGTATATATATACTTAAATAATTATTAATTATTGTTTAATAATTTTTTTGAATGACATTAGTTTTTAGTAATCTAAGATCTAAATATTGTTACATTAATTGGGTGATTTTTTGTTAGTTCTTTAAGAACTCCTTTTTATAAGAAATAACTTAATAAAATATAAATTGTTACTGAATTCTCGATTTTTATTTACCAACCACATTGTCAGGTCTGAGTTTAATATGAGATTTTACATATTAATGCCACCAGGTTATTAAGATAAATGTAAAAAATACTGGAGATGAAAAAAAATAACATGCCAAGAGAGTAGTTAAGAGAGCGGGTTTCAGCGCCAAAGTCGATGGCATGTGTTACCTTTCAGGATTTCAGTGCCGAAGAAGTGTTTTTCAGGATGTCTTCGGCTGAATTTCAGAATTTTCAGGATGTCTTTAGCGCTGAAGACATGAACCTTCTGGTTTTTTCAAGGTCATTTCAGGATCAGGTCTTCAGCAGATGCAGACAATGACCAGAAGGTCCTTTTCAGGGACATTTCAGGATGTCTTTGTCTGCTGACGACGACAATAACCAGGTCTTTTTCAGGGAAATTTTCCTGAAAGATAAGGACCTTTAGAGGTCCTTGTTTATCTCTTAGATCTTTAAGTTGGTACCACAACTGTCTAACTAGATTTATGTTGGTAGTAATTAAAATTTTATAAAAAAAGTGTACGCTAGCCTAGTCTAGCCTAGCCTTGGGTATAGTTGGTTAGAAAAGGACCTTCTGGTCATTGTCTGCATCTGCTGCAGACCTGATCCTGAAATCCTGAAATGACCTTGAAAAAACCAGAAGGTCCCTGTCTTCGGCGCTAAAGACATCCTGAAAATCCTGAAATTCAGCCGAAGACATCCTGAAAAACACTTCTTCAGCACTGAAATCCTGAAAGGTAACACATGCCATCGACTTTGGCGCTGAAACCCGCTCTCTTAACTACTCAAGAGTTTTATTATATAATTTTATTCCTTAATAAATACACTCACAGGCAAAATAATCGATCCACACAAATTTTCGATGAATTTCAATCGCAAATAACTTTTTTATTTGATTTCGGATTTAAACAAATATTAAAGAATATTGTAGATACATTAATGGAGAATCGCTCACATTTTAAAAATTACTAAAAAATACACCTAAGTTTATAATATACAGGTTTAAATAAAAAGATGTTTTTTACCATAAGTTTAAGACACTCTGTAGAGTGGCAAAACCGTATATTGTTCTAAATTAAATTTTAATTATCAAGTCACATCTATCTTTAACAGTTTTGTTTTTGGTTCACCTTGATATATTTATTTTTGTGGAAAATTGTATTTTGTAAATTAATGTGTTAATTTTAAAAAAGTCTCCGACTGATGTTGCCCTTTGTACTTTACTTCTTGTGTCGTTTAAAACACTTACCACGTAATACTGTGACCGTCCATCCTGGATTAAATTAATGGCTCTGGCAACATCAGTCGGAGACATATCCATTTTTTAAAGTAAGAAGACACCTCAAAATTTAAACATTAATTTGCAAAAAACAATTTGATAGCTTTTGAAAGCCGTGTATGACATGTCCAAGTATGGGATGATTCAACAAAACTTTCACTGTCATTCTCCATAGCCTATGAATGGACCATAGGAACCTTAGTTCTTCATAAAGAAAAATATTGGAAATTGCAATGTTTTTTTTTAAAAATCCATATTTTCCACAAATGTAAATATATCGAGGTGAACCAAAAACAAAACTGTTAAGAATGGATGCGACTTGATAAATAAAACTTAATTTAGAACAATAAACGGTTTTGCCACTCTACAGAGTGTCTTAAACTTATGGTAAAAAAATCTTTTTGTTTAAACCTGTATATTATAAACGTACGTGTATTTTTTAGTAATTTTTAAAATGTGAGCGATTCTCCATTAATGTATCTACAATATTCTTTAATTTTTGTTTAAATCCGAAATCAAACAAAGAAGTTATTTGCGATTGAAATTCATCGAAAATTTGTGTGGATCGATTATTTTGCCTGTGAGTGTAGTAAATTATTTTTTCTTCTTCCACTTTTAAAACGCTAAAATCTAGGTTTTTTTTTTGTTTTTCACCGAAACTCCATAATATTGTTTAAAACATCGAAAAAAAATCCCTCAAAGTTTGAGCCCTTAATTTTGATTCTAAGCTTTTTCATTTTGAATTTTTCCCATTTAAAAAGCATGCATGTATTTTCAATAACTTTTTTAATTTTTTTATATCTGTCTGGTTTTCAGCTTTCATATTGTGGTTCATTTTTACTTATGTTTTATTCTGAAGATCTTTTGTTTTATTCA